TGAGAGAAGTTAATAGCAAGAAGGCAGGAGAGGGGGGAGGAACGGGATTGTGCTTGTTTTATGTAGAGACAATAAGCACTGAAATATCATGACCTTCAGGATACCACCTATATTTCTGCCTTTCGGATGCCAGCAGTTTTGCTAAAGCTATATAAAGTTAAATTTGATCCATAGTGATCTAAAATTCTTTTAAAAGAAACAGATACATGTGGCATTAAGGGATCTTCACTTTTCCTGCTGCATATACAAATTCGCTATCAGTACTGCTGAGCTGTACAGGCAGACACAGTGAAAAGGTAAGAAGCCTTTCACTCGTTTGGCAAGAAGTCAAGAAAAGACAGACTTGACATAATTATGAAATATATGTCAATGTTGCTATTTGAGATAAAATCCAATGAGATACATTTCATTTCTAAATCCAAGGGGTCTCTGAATGGTGCTACAAAATTATAGGGAAACAAAGCATATATTTGGATGTAACTAACTTGTATTTGCATTTTTATGCGTGTCAGGGTGTCCTCAGTCCTAGTGAAATAACACCCACCCTTTAGACTTGACTTGCTGCTGTGGTTCTGTGTAACAGTCTATCACTGCATCATTCCAAGTAACAGGAGAGCAAAGAGATGTGGATGCCCTCGTTCTGTGCAAACACACGCTGTCTATATACCCCCTACAGTAGCGGGCAGGTGAGGAACATCATTGGGGGAAAAAAAGAGTACAGTGACCATCACAGCGATACATCATCATGTACAGGGGTCAACACAGCACCCGTGAGTTCTTTCAAAACCCTGTCTGTTACCAGATAGTTCTATTGGCATTGGTAATGGAAACAGTTTGCAGCTTCTGGGTGGGGGTGAGGAAATTCTGCATTTTGAAGAAAGATTACAGATTACATTAGGTTAAAGCTGCTCAAATGCATTTCTCATGAGACTCACAAGTAGCCCTTACAGCCATGGGAAATCACCATCCTATTCCTCAAAGAAGAGCAGGGCACTTGTCCATCTAATTTTGTATCCTGTTGTTGGCATTGTTTTCTCCTGATACTTCAGAGCAAAAATAAAAAAATCTTCAAAATTTACCTCACGAGATGTGTGAGGCTCTGTATGAAGGCGAGGACCATCCTGGTTCCCCAACAAACAAAGCACAAATTATGATTCTCCATATTCTCCACTAGTAAATATGTTACTGGGATATAATAATTCAGTTACTATTTAATTTAGCAGAAGTAAATATTATTGGCTTTCCCCCTTATCTTCTCTTGTTGCCCCAAGAGAGCCAGGTTTTGGACACAAACTAAAAATTTTCCTCTATTTCTTGCCTGCTACTCACTGTCCATGAGGGAAAGCAGGATACTTTCCTCATTATCTTACTACCACTTTGCCTTCTTCCTTGCAGTTTACTGCAGCAAACAGGTATATCCTTGGTCTAAAATCAGTTTTATTTTCTAGTAGGACTGCAGGCAGCAATAAATACCCATATGTCCAGGTATTTTTATATTAAATTACAGTTAGAAGTATACATATAATTGTTTCAGCTCAGCAATATGAAATTACAGAAATCTTTCGGTTGTTTTACTGTAACATCAAATTGGCTGGTGATGCGATACTCAGTGTAAGTCATTACAGGTCTGATGTTACAGTTGTTATACATTGCTGAATCTGTCAAATGAAAAGGCAGCACAAAGGGAATTTCCAAATGCAGCTGCTATTTCCCATTTGTTAAATCATTTTATTACACCATATAAGCACACAGCTGGGAAATACTATAGAGTGGGAGTTAAAACAAAATATTTTGGCTTCCAGACATTCAGAATACACAAAGGACTCGGTGGAAAGCAATGCCTGATATCAAAGGGAGTGAAAGTTTGAAAACATTTTTAGCCAGTGTGGGTTTTTTTGTGATAATACACAATGTAGTTTCAAGGTATCTTACATTACAGAAAGTGCTGCATACCATAAATGTTAGGAAAAAATCTCAATTTTTTTTTTCAGTCTAATTGCCCTCTTACAGTATTTTTTTTTCACTTAAGATCTGTACAGCCCTTGCACTATGTTACGATGCATAGTGTGTGCTCTCACAAATTCCAGGGAACTGCTTAGTAGATTTAAGGGCACAAAGGATGCAGGATTGTACCCTTAATTAGATACCACATAAAAGAGAATTTTTTTCCTCCCCATATGTTGACACAGCATTTTTTCAATTTACTATCTTATAACCAGACAATACACGTTATTGATGCATTTTAATGACAGCATTACTTTCAGTGTAAATAGTATGAGCAGGTGCTTCTTCAAATCTGCTTTGAAAGGATTCATCTGGGAAAGGTCAGAAAGTGCTTACCTTCTGGGAATTTGATTTTATTAAGTAGAAAAGCAGTCACTAGCACAGCACCTATCTCAAATTTGCCCAACCCACCTTCTGGAATTTGTCTTTCTGGAAAGAAACTCCTATCCTCCCTTAAAGGAGTATGAAATTGCCTTCGTCAGGAAAATTGTAGGTGCCTCTGAATTCTTTCTTAGTAATATTGATGCCTGCTTGGAGATTGAGGTGTTTCAGAGAAACTTCATGTAATAACGGCTTAAAGGTTTGCTCACGAAGGACATAAGTAAGGGGAAAAAAATGATCAAACAAGTTACCCTAAATGACAGTCCCTCAAGGAGAAAAAAAAATTGTCACCACTTCACTGTTGTGATCTAACTAGTCATGTAATGTACCTGAACTGTAAATACATTGGGACCTTGCTCAGCACATTTTAAGCCTCTTTTGAGTGCAACCAAACAGTATGCTTTGGAACTACAGTTTTCATTTCTAGCCAAGCCTTGTAAACTATACCCATCTTAGAGCTGGGGGGGGGGGGGGTGTGTGTGGAATAAATAAATACATAAATAAATCTATTTGATTTAGCTGAGAGCTACCTAAATAAGGATGACAAACACCCATCACCAGATTTAATCCAAGGGAACTGTGGAGTTTCCTAATGATTTTCAGGACATTTATTTACATATATGAGTGAATATTTACTGGAAAAAGGAGAGAAAAAAACAGAGTGCTAAGTCACTCAAGCAAAGTTTATGCACCTGTTCTGAAATACGATAAGCTGGGTATTGATTAATGCCTGTCCAGAGGTACAGCCAGTGTTGACATGATAGTGCAGCATTAAGAAAGAAAATAGAGATTGCACTCTGTAGCAGTAAATGTAAAACCACTTCAGAGCAATACAAGTGAGTACAACCGATCATACTACAAGAGGGTCTATCGTTTTGGCTTAATGTCCGTGGCCTTAACGCTCACGTCCAAGCAACAGCCTGTACCAAAACCAAATGCTTTGGCAGACTCTTAGAAGTTACGAGTTCCTTTCTTTCTAGGACACAGAGTCATGTTATCAATGTTATTGATGTCCTAAGACTGAAATTCCCAGAGTGCACATGTCTCTCTGAATGAATAGGAAAGTAGCTGAAGAATTCACAGATTTATTTTTTCCATCAACAAACTTGATCAATCCTTTCTAGTATGCATCCAATTTGTCGTCCTGATAACATAGAACTTAAAATTATTCTGATGCGCTTACCACATGATCTACGCAGAAGAGTGACTCTCCATCCAAAAGGAGTGTCCATCTGAGAATTCTGCATAGCAATCATATGTACAACTTACAACCTACCTTGCCAAACTACTAGCCATTTTTACAGCTGAAATTTTGCCTTCTTCATGGCAGCTGCCCAAACACCTAGCAATATTTTAGGCCTGATAGAAAGTTATGCACTGGCTTAGATTGTGCATTACAGATTAGGTAGCACCTTCATCTTTCTGGTTTGGTTTGATCTTTTAAATCAGTTGGATTTTAGAAAGAAAAAAAAACAAAACACTATCTTAAGAAAATAGATATTATTGTAGTGCTACTATTTAATTAATTCCAGGCTTCACAATATGTATGAAGAATCCAGTATCTACGTTGATTAACGAATTAGAATTATTACTTCTAGCCAAATTTAAAATAAGTTCATTATTCCTAGCGTTGTCAAAAAAAAACATGCTGAAAAATAAAGACTTGCTCAAAAAAAACTGCTCATAGACATTTAATAAAAATACAGAAGAAATTTTATGGAAACGCAGGGTATTCTTTTAAAACTAACTGTGTGAACTTAATATCTGTGAAAGTCATTTTATGGAGACTCTGGAATTATGATGTTCTAAATTTATAGAACACCTGGCTGCTCCACGTACCTTAATTCTGTTTGAGGAACACATGCAAGGAAAATAAATTGACTGAGATGTCATGCCCATTCAGTCTTCATTCAGTCTGTCCATTTATTTAAGTTTTGGGATGGTGAGACAGACTTACAACTGTAAAATAATTTAGGCTACTGAAGAGAACACAGATGATAATTCTGATCATTGCTAACATCACCTATATACAAACTGGTGATCTAGAGCAGCAGAGCATGACATAGTTACTCATAAATACTTTTCCCCTTCAGAAAAACTTGTAATTTCCTATAAATACAGCAGGATGTTTGTGTCACCTAAAATTCCAGCTGCTTTGTTGTGGTGTGAAGCTATAATATTCTAGAGTTGGTTGGTTCCATTTCCGAAACAAGTAAAAAAATACATTAAAGCTTCTTCCTTCAGCACAACACTTTGCAGATGACAGTTGTGAGCTACATCCTCCTGTCAGAAATTAATGCTTGAATATATGAGCTAAAAAGGTTATGACATAAATTAAGGTATGAACAAAAACATGATGAATAGATGCATTTCCTTTCCAAAGGTGAACTCATCAAATGACCTCATTCATATAGACCTGTATACTTAAGAAGATTATACAATTGTAATTTACAATTACACCATATTGATGTTGATCTATTACCAACACTGACACTTTAACATTTAAAAAGCTTTACAGCCATAAAGGATTGTACTGAACATGTATTTCAAAATGGAAGTGAACAGTCTTTGACAATACTAGGTTAGAAAGCCACTGTGAGAACTGCAAAACTCACCATTCTGTGCTGGGCTGAGATTACTCCATCCCATTCAGGATCTTGTTGAATGGTCGTGACCAGAGTTGGTAGCTCCTCAGAGTGAGGTTTGTTGTGCATTACATTATGTAGAGGCAGATGAGAGGTCGCATGCTGATCACTGTTTCCCTCTTCCTTGTCACATGATGCTAAGTCCTGGGTCATTGTTTCCTCTCCATCAGCTGCACATGCAAAGGGAGAGGTAGCCTGCTTGGAAGACATTCTTCTACAAAACAAGAAAAGCAGACAAAATGAAAACATTGGTGTTGAAAAAAAAAAAACAACAAAAAAAGTTCAAAACAGTCAAAACAGTCCTGTAAACACACCATGCGTGCCTACAACAGTTAAAAATGAATCATATGCAGTCAACAATAAGACTTCCAAAACTATGGCTTTGGGGATCTGGATCAAAAAAAAACCTGAGATAATGTACTCACTGATGCCAAGTCAAGTTCAGGGTTAAGTTATATGATGCTATTCTATCCATTTACATTTGTCAAACAATATGATTTTCTCCAGCCATAAGAAGATGTAATGTAAATGTACTTTATTGGTATTTTCATGTTGATTTTATGTAAGAGTTCAAATCTTTAAACTCTTACTCCCATGAGCAATCTGAAGGTTACAAGCAAACTTTTAGAGAAAAGTGTCCATCATGCTTTCTTAACAGCATTCCCTGCAAGCAGAAGATGTTTCTACACATTTTTAAATCTATTTCAAAATCTGCTATATAAGTCCTTTTGCTTTTTTAAAAAGCTGTATCTGCTCTTAGCCTGTTTAAAATTTTACCCAGTTTGACCTTTTGGAAAGTGTTTTGAGACATTCATATGAAAAGTGTTCTAAAATGGAATAGATTATTGAATGGATGGATAATATCTGAGTAATCTTTTACAGCTTGAACTAAAAATCTAAAATAATTATGTTTCATTTCATATTAGACATTGAGTACAGGATATAGCTGAACAAATTACTTTAAATGACTTAAAAGTGTGATGAATAAATGCATTGATTTATGTTAAATGTCTTTTTCTAATAATGGCCTCTTACTACCATCTCATATGCAAACACAGCTTTCACCACAGTTTCTGCACTTAGGTGAAAATATAACTGACTTCCACTCAAAATCTGAAAACACTTTCTTAAAATTTCTAATAAGATTAACTGCAACTGTTAAAACAATCATTAATAAACCTGAAAGAAGACAGCTAAAATACATTAGCTATTTTCCTAGGTTTTAGTAATTTTAGAATATCCTTGACACTGAAATTGCTGAGAAACTAAGGAATAAGATCCCCACCTTAATTGCTTTTTAACAATAATTGATTTCATACCATTTCTTTAAAAATGCACAAATCAGTTAACATAGGAAACCACATGAGCATTTTTCAAATTAGCAAATCATTAACTTGCTAGTACTGTTTCTACAGACAAATAAATACTGATTAAAGGGCCTGGAAATCTGAGACTAACAGTTAAATTTACAAATCTGTCACATGCTTTCATGAATATTACAGTGAAGGAAATATCAAGTGCAAAGAAAAATAATTAAGTTAATTCCAATTTAAACATTAGTTTTTATGTAGCAGCCTGTGTTTCACATAGGATTTAACAGCTAATGCTAAATTTCTCACAATTAATGAGGGAGTTCAGATTTAGTATCCTACAGTGAAAAAAAATTAATATAAGATCAACTAATCTAATTATGTACAGTTCAATATGAAAGTATTACAAGCTTTGAAGTGCTTTGAAACATATTAAAACACTGATACCTATTTAGAATAACTATTCTGTAAATAGAGATAATCCTGCCTCTTAAACTCGATACTGGTAGGGAAAAAAAAAGGTTTGTGTTTTCTTTAGGGAAGCCTAAGTGTAAGTGGGAGTCTAGTATCAGTGCTGTCAATAAGCAGAACTGAGGAATTTAAACCATATATTGCATTCTTACTACACTAAAGAATATGTGTTGATGCTAAAGAAAATATGTCAAGAGTTCAGCAACCAGCATTATTGTGCATACTTCAAAAGGTTCTGGTTCATAATTACTATGAGCCAAGATAAAATAAAAGGTTTACTTTTCCCTTTCTCATTAAAATAGTCATGTTAATATAATCACTCACATGAAAATATAAGTCAACACTTTATGCAATCTGAAAACCAGTAATGAAAACTGAAAGTCACAATAAAGGATTTTCCTTTCTTTCACCTTCTCAACAGATCTTATTCCTCTTTCAAACTGAAAGAGCTTCTGTGAAAAGCAATAGCTATGGCTGTTCCTTCACCATAAATTAATCATGACACAAAACTAGAAACGAAAATGTCTCTTAAGAACAATTTCAACTACAAACTGCACCAATGAATAATAGTGCACAATCCTAATTAAACACAACTCTGCAGCTGCAAAAATAGGCTGAATCTGTCCAAAGCTATGACTTGGCTTTAAAGGCTGGTTTGTTAGGGACTGTTTTCTTAAGGAAGGCTGGGCCCTCAGTCTTAATCAGCCAATAAATTATTTCCTGCAATTACATTAAATAGAAAATTATCTTCAAATTGGGAATGTTAATTGAAAATCAAAATTCAGACTGAAGTTTAGAAATTACATGCTGAATATAATTAGTCTAGAAAGGCTTCACCTCTATTTCATAAACAGGCTTTTGGTATTTCCTCAAGTGACCATTCAGTGAAGCTATCTACTGATAATGCGCTAGAGAGGAAACATTTTTTCTTTGCTATGTACACTAATATACTTTCCTCTTATTCATGATATTTTAAATGTATTTAAAGAAAAATCTCTATTCATGTTCTGGATTTTAAGTTTATTACATAGAGAAAAGGGGTCTCTGTTAACCTTAAAAATAAAAGTCTATTGACAAAATCACATTCACTAATAATCTCAAGCCATGCCAGCAAGTTTTTTCTGTACACTAAGAAGTTAGACTGAGTGCAGGGTTCAGATGTTTTCTAGCTCCTCTTATGCCTTTCCTTCACTGCTGCATTATAGTCAAACACATTTTCATACTGTACTTTACTCAGCTACCTATAGTCCTGGAGTCTGAAAAGAAAGCAAGCGCAGGCAGATCTCCCAGGGCACTTGCTCTCACCATGACTTAAGTTTTAGGGCTGTGTTTCATTTCTATTTTCCCCCAAGCCTTTGCTAAAATAGCAAAGTTTAGTGCATTAATTACGGTCAGAGGTCAGCATCTGATGGTACTTTTCAGGTTTTTGGTTGCTACATTTTAAACACTGTGGTAAAAAGGGACAGAGATGTAGGACCCTGCTAGATGAAGGCCCCCATCTTCTTTTCCCAGCACAGTCATTAACTCAGTCAACATACCTCATGTGTACATGTCGTCTGAGGGTGCCAGTTTATGCACCGAATATTGATTATGCCTGGGTTTATAATTAGCAAAAACAAAGTAAATATAAACTCCGGGACTGGGTGTTAACCAGTCAATTACTACATGATAGGTTTTTTCACTTGTTACGTGTTTGGTTTTGCTTACTTAAATGGGAGAATTCTGTACACAGAACTCCACCAAGTCCAAAGGCAGAGACTGGCAAATAACTCCAGTGTCTCATCAAATTCAAAGGGAGAAGAATCTGCCCTGTTTGAGTAGTTTATGTTTATGATAACATTAAACAATAGAACAGGTTATAGTGTTAAAATGCTTTAATGTTAAACTATGAGTATGAATAGCAGTCAAATTTTGAGCTATAATAACTTCCCAATTTTACATTTAAAATCTTTAAAATGCATTTGCTAAATCCCTAGGGGGCAGGGGGGCGAGGGGACATACAGTCAATATTCATGATAAATAAGGCTTGTAAAAAGTATCAGAAATTTCCTAATTTCCATTATATTTTTTTCTATTATCAATTAAATTCACTCAAATGATTTTAAAAAAAGTTTCTGATAAAAAATATCTCCCTAGTTATAACCCCTGCAAACAGGGGTTTATAATGGAAGTGCTGACACAACCCTAACTACAGCAGCGCAAATGGTGCCGCTATAATACACAAAATCAAGTTCTATTATTCTAAACTATCCTCGCTCGGGGGGTTTTCTTTACTGTGCTCCCAGACAAACTGCTGAAGCATGAAAAATTTAAATGCAATCAAGTGGGTCCAATTCTACTTTACTAGAACAAGTGTCTACAGTGGTACAATCTTAAAAGAAGATGCAACAGATTTGTTTGGTGCTTTTCTTTCTTTTTTCTTTTTTAGCTGTTTATTTATAATACTGTGCAGTGGAGATAAAATAAGAGAGGAAATTACACTCACATTATATCAGTATATTGATTACACAGCACACAATCAGAAAGAAAACTACATTGTGAAATTGTTGCTTTGGTTAAATTGACAGATTAGCTGAACACAGCAATCACTAAAGGTGGAAAATACACCTAATGGAAATGAAAAAAATTGAAAAGAGCCCTAACTATCTGAAGTCCTATCACTTACTCAACTTCAAAAATTAAATAAACCTTGATTTGGATTTTCCAGACCTAGAATAAATTCTATCTCATTTTGAATTGAAGACAGAAAAAGGGTGGGATCATTTATCAAAACCTCAGTAAAGCTGAGGAATTGAACCCCAATTTCAGTCAGTCTTGATACCAAGGTAGTAAAGCTAAAATTGAACTGCTAAGGGTTTTTTACCTACATAAAATGACAGTTCCAAACAGTTCCATGTGCTATATATCTGCCACAATTTTTTATTTTAATCCAGAGAAGAAATTCTCTCTGCTGTAATGAAGACTGCCAGTCAGATTCTCAAGAAAAGTTTTCTTTTTTTCCTATAGACAGTCTGTGTTATACCCCTCTAAATACAAATAATAATACTGCGGGGGGTTGGGTTTTTTTCTTGTCTAACATTCTTCTACAGTCTCAAATTCTTCAGATGATGTCCATCTTCTTTTTCGAAACAATTATATGAAATTAAAGGCTTCCAAAGCCTAAAATCTTCCACCCTGATGACTGCTCAAATTAAAAGTTATGGTGGAAATTACTCCAGGCTAGACCTGGAGATGTAGCTGACAGACATTTCAGAATCAAGACACAAAGTATTAACACAGATAACAACAATGTGATAGCCCTGACACTATTTTAAAAACATATAAACTAAGAAATAAAAACGAGATATATGACAAAGGAGACTTGTAGTTGGCTGGAGACTCTAGCTTCTGTTCTGCTCCACCCTAACAAAGCATTCATAAACCTAAAGGCATG